AAAAAATGTCGTTCACCCCTTTTGAGCAATGTAAACAAACTGAGTAATTGTGAAATATATACATTTATATGGAAATGCAGATGACCAAATTTTATCTTGAGTGTTTTATCTGCCTGCAGTGACACAGGTTCAAGTCCTGGATGGGGAGGGTAACTTTGTCATTCATCTCTACAATGTATTTCACAGAGTATTGGAGAGTTTGTGTTGACTGACCCCAACATGAGAGTGAAGGAAAAGGGCAAAATCTACAGTCTTAATGAAGGTTATGCCAACCTCTGGGATCCAGCAGTATCTGAATATGTGCATGGAAAGAAGGTAAATTTGTGTAAAATTTTGAATCTGTTAGCTTTTTTTTTTAGACGGTATTTTTTTTTCTCTTCATTTGAATAATTATGATCTGACGAGGATTTAGACCCTCAGAATCTAAGTTTTTATGCTGTCTGATATAGAGAGCCTATTCTGTCATACCTGCTTTGAAAAGTCAAGTTAATGAGATCAAAGGAATATTGTGAATTGCTTTTCAAAGTGACAGTTATAAAAAACTATACATTTTTTACAGGCCAAAAAAGCTGGTGCACGTTACATTGGATCTATGGTTGCTGATGTCCATCGTACACTAAAGTATGGGGGTATTTTCATGTACCCTGCCACCTCTGATGCTCCTAAGGGCAAGGTAGGGTTTTAATTTCTAGCTAAAGAAGTCTTTTAGTATTTAAGTATAAATTTTGAATTAGTTTTAATGCTTCAAGAAATGTTTGTTAGCTGTAATGATTGAAAACTGTTTAAGATTGACATAGGCTCAGCTTTTTTTTATAATAATTAAATTTTCCTTTCTTTTTAGCTTCGTTTACTGTATGAATGTAACCCTATGGCATTCCTAATGGAACAGGCTGGAGGTCAGGCAACAACTGGAAAGATGCGCATCCTTGGTAAGAATGATTAAACATGTATACTATCTTTCTTTGGATTTTACATGAAAAGCAATATCTCATTCAATATGCCATTACTTTTAGAAGCTGATGTTGGAAATTAGTACTTGCTTGTAATTTAATGTTGTGTGTGTGTGTGAGTGAGAGAGAGAGAGGGAGAGAGTGAGTGAGTTTTTGTGGAATATCTAATTTTTTAAACGCATGTTTTCCAGACATCGTCCCATCTGATATTCATCAGCGCACTCCCATTTTCCTTGGATCAACTGATGATGTACAAGAAATCATTGACTTGTACAAAAAGCATAATCTGTAGAACCCAATTTCAATAATCTGTGTGAAATAATCCCCCTGAAATGGTACAGGACCTACTGTGTTGCATCTGAGAAGAATTATCATATGTTACATAATGAATAAATACATTTATAACAAGAAATTCCTTTAACTTCTTATTGACCATTTCATAATCTTATTGCCATTTGTATGAATCAATTTTCCAGATTCCTTTCTGAAAAAATGTTTGGTACCTTTAGGATGTTACATATTTTATTTAAGGTTGAATATATAGTTGGAACACCATAAAGGTTTTTAAACTCCTTAGATTTAAAGCAGTATTAGAAATGGTATAAAATATCAAATTGTGCAGGAATTCATAACAATAAAATGAGTGTATAGATGTACTGTAGTTTTTCATTTCTTGGATTTTTAATGTTTGTCACAACAAATTTTAATACACAGCCTCCGAATAACTGCAGTATAGAAATGTCAGGCCTCCAATGAAAATAAAATTATCATATTTTAGAACTGCCTTCCAGTTCAGACTGGAGAATAGAAGTGGGTTTAGTATTTGAAGACAATGATGGGATGTTAGAAGCATATTGGTTAGAAGGGTAGACCAAAATGAAATCCACTAAATAATATTTTTAATAGGGCTTAGGAGACAGTCTGAGGTGTGAGAGCCATGCCAAGAGGATGAAAAGCCTTCCTATTCCATTTGCTTTTCCCCTTTTCACTACCAAACTAACCTACAGCATTCTATATCCTTTGATATCTAACATGTTTTGTCCTAACTCATTTTTACCCTTTTTGGCACAATACTTTATCATACTGGTTTAAGACTTTTGATGTCTGGCACATTTATTTGTTTCAACCATTACCCATTCTGGGAATCCACATACATTGTTGTATGAACCATCAAACTTACTTAGCAGGGGGCATCACCCCCCAAGCCTCACTCTATCACAATATGTTGTATATGGGGCTAATGACCTTAGATGTTCATGTGGCAGAATTTTTTCAACAAATAATCTGTAAAAGTGATATCACATGTGAGAAAACAATGGGGAGGCTACTTGTTTATCAATTTGCCCACCTATGACATCCACTGTATTTGTGCCTAAGATCATGCGTGCTCATGTAGACAGGCCTTTTTAACAGTCCCACTCAATGATACTTTAATAATGTTAAGGTTAATTAATCATTTTTTATAAGTATTTCAAAGGCTTTACTTAAAAAATTAAACCTAATATAATCAGGTACTCCTAATATAAGCAAAAGTACTAGATTCAAATAAA